CGATGAGGAGCGCTTCGTCGATGGAGACAGATCTGAGCCTGCCCGTGATTTTTGGATGAAAGATCACAAGCAACAGCTCAAGGGAGAGAGACGGTGAGAGAGAGAGAATTTCCCAGTCAAAGAGCGGGATTTTACTCTTTTTTCCACTAGACTGATATTGCTAGAAAAACGACGTCGGTTTCAGCTTAAATTAAATTTTGCCTTTTTTAGGCTAATAGCAAGTAACACCCTAAAAAAGATTATTCCAATATCAATTTACATCTTCAAAATTTAAAAATATCAATTTATAATCTAAAAGAAATAAATTTGTATTAAAATGCACTTGGGGGCTAACTGCCATTTATTTTGTCGTTACAAAAGTTCGAACTAATGATAAATTGTACCATCAAAGTTGAAATATTTTTACATTTATGATCCAAAAGAATTTCATTCATTAATATTCGTTATATAACTCTCAATTATATCGTTTCGTATCGAGTCACTAAAAAAATATTTTTAAAAATTTATAAAATACTTATTTTTTTGTCTATTATACTTGTTAAATAACTATTTTTAGTCCACTATATCCCTTAAATCATGTTATTCATATCTAACTTTAATTTGATTGAACAATCAAAAGTTTCGTGTGTAACTTTAAACAAAGAATAACTATTTAACGAGTATTATAAGTAAGAAATAGACATTTTATAATTTTTAAATAGTATTATATGAATTATCATAAATGTGAAACATACGACACAACACAATTGACTCGAGCCGAAAATATTTTTTGTGTTAAAATAGTTTTTTTATTGACTCAAAAGACGACACAAAATAACACGACACAAAAATATTACAATACGACATAATTGAGAGGCATCTCTCTCTCTCTCTCTCATGTTGCTTTCAGCTGCATATACATCGAATGTATATAAGTTGTTTCCAGGATTCTTTGATCAAGGAAACAAACGAAAAAAACGTATTCAAAAGTGTACCATTAGTGTTTATAATGATGCATGGAAGTCATACAATGGCCTAAAACTGGTCAAGAGAAGACTAAATATGCAATTTCTCTATGATCTCGCGATGTAGCCCTAAGAAGAAATTGCGTGTAAGCCAAAAATAAAGATCGAAATGGATCTCATCCTAGAAACTGTTTCAAGAACAACTCAGATGCATCAAAGACATCTGCACAGTTCCAACATCTCCAATCTGCTCGAATTGTAATTTGAATACAAATCTTCATCTGTCATCTTCAAAAAAGTGTCCTACACAGAGTTTCATTGATATTACATCTCACCAAGAGGATATGGAACCCAACAGGTTCCTAAAAAATGTGTGATCAAGAGTTTTCTGATAAAATGGATTAGCGATCACCCAGCTTGGGGCTCCCAGCAGGGAGAGGTAACTCCAAGTTCTCTACGGTCCTGAACGTTCTGGGGACCATCTTGTCAACATAGAGAGATCCGTCTAGATGATCACATTCATGCTGCAAAATACGGGCCTGCCAACCTGAGGCATCAATTTTGATTGGCCGGCCATCTCGATCAAAACCTGTAACCTCAACCTCTAGGTATCGCTCCACAACCGCTCTAAATCCATCAACGCTGCAAAGTACATCATAACAGAAAAGAGAATCGATCTTAGATGGCCAGTATATTAGTCAAGATTATGATGGAGCAAAACTAAATTTTGCAAGTTCCAACATTCTGTTTTCATTCCAAGAGACACCCAATTTTTTAGAAATTTGGAAAGGCACCTCAAACACACGGGGAAAGGAAAAAAAATTCCCTGTATACTACTGATAGATACCAAAACAGGAAATCATTATGAGAAGGAAATGGAAATCCATCATCATATGGTCAAAAAAGCAAGAGTGCTAACCAACCCTCGTCAGAAAATCCATTGGCAATGGTTCACAAGTCTCATACAGACAGCGTGATGGTTCATATGCAACCCAAATGCCTGAGAATCAATGCCAATATCAAAGTTCATAGCAAACCCACTGTTCAGCTAAAGGAGAGCATTGAAGGGATTGCATTTTTTAACAAAGCCATTGCTCAAAAATCTATGACCTAACAGTGTGTGAAATGTACAAATAATGTCAATATAGCTGTACTGAGGCTTTAATTGCAAGGCTTAATCTCAGTCCCATGTGACATTTAATGAGCATTGACAAATAGGCTGTACTATGAAATTAGTTGCCTCCTGTAGCTTACCTCAAACACCCTTCAAAATACAGGGCAGTTTTGTTGCCCTTCTTTTTAAGTTTTGGATTCAGAATGACCTGCACTAAAAGAGCTGTACAATGTAAAAATTATAGAGAAGTCAGACGTCAATTGCACATAAGGCTGTAGCATATTGCTCACATACCAATAGATCAAAAGGACGCCGCTCCTGTGCTTTTGTCACCTCCTTTGGTGCATAACTGATGTACTCTTTCGTGTCTTCCAAAACAATTATCTGTTAGAGGTTAGCAAAATCAGTCTATTGCAGATGCCCTTTTTCTCATATCATTACCAGGCTCATTTTCCTAGAAAGATAGCAAGCCATCAGCTGGCACTGCTCTTGATCAAATTTTTTTGTTTAAGTTCAGCTATTCTAACCCGGATTCTTGGTAAAATATTCTAACCACACAGAAACAGACACTCAAAAACTGATTTTCTGCTCAACCATCAACATTTACCACAATTTTTCCAAAGCTGACACCTCTTCGTCTACTAATAGTATTTTCCCAATGTACCATTTGGTGCAACTATAAAATGTACTTTTCTAACGTGTATCTTGACCTAATCGATTAAGCGAGGCTACTAATGAGCTGGAGTAAGACTCAAATCCCATCAACTATGGCTTTGCAACTTAAAAACAGTAATCTTCTATAAATACCTACAATGTGTTTTGCAGCATGAAATTGAGGGCCTGGAATTGGAATCAAGAAACAAAAATTAATTTAAAGGTTCAATTAATTTCCCCTAACCCATTTCAGAAGGCATGAAATTGGACTTGCCATTTGGTTATGAAAATTTCTCAATAGCGACATGGCATGTTCATATCAATTTCATTTTCTATCACGAACACATATGATTAAAATGAGGCAGTGCAACAAAAGAAAACATAAAAAACTGAAGAAAATCCTCTTTGACCAGTATTTTATCTAATTGATAAAGTCCAAACTGTTTCGAATCTGCATTCAATAAAAAATAAATTAAAAAAGGTCAAAAACGAACCTTCAAAGGAACACCAATCTGAGGAGCAGCAAGACCAACCCCAGGTGCTTTCCTCATCAGCTTCACCATATCATCTACAATCGTTTGGATCCTCTCCGACCCGATTTCTTCTAGTGGGACCTCTCGGGCCGGTTCATAAAGAACAGGGTCGCCAGCCTTCACAATGTCTGGCAAATTCTGCTTCTTCTCTCCCATACCCAGAAACCAACCAGCCCGAGCTGTTGAAGTAGAGCTGTAATTTCTTTGGGGTTTCAAGTTTACATTGAAGGTGGGGCTCAGGTATGAATTCTTGGGTCTGCAATTGGGTTTCCGGGTTGGATGGAGAAGTATAATTGGGATGGTCTGTAATGGAGTATTTGTAGAGGTTTTGAAGTTTTTCCCGTAGAATGGGATAGGAAAGAGACTGTGTGTGAACTGTTGAATGCACTCCATCGCCTACTATAATCTGCTCCTGTACCGAAACATCCAGCCATAGTATCAGAAAACAGAGAATTACGAGTTTGCCCCTAGTCCAGTAACTGAGCAAGTATTTGGGCTTGAGCTGGGCCTCAGACTCATCAAAACATATTGGGTAAATTGTAAGGGTTAAACCCAATTAAACTTATTTGGCAAAAAATACACACTAAAAAATATTTTGAAAAAATGTATACTAATTAAAAACAAAGACATAAATACCCATTTTAGGGAAAATTGTGCATTAAATATCCCCTAATTTTACGGGAGAAGTTTAATATTTAATGCACACTGATTCATGTATATTTGTTAATATATATATATATATATATATAACTCGTGCCTAAAGACACAATAAAATATAAAATTTGAGCGTCCAAAAAATAAATCCCACTATATTAAATTTTTTTAAAATATATTAACCGCAAATTAATTAAATAATAGATGATTAAATATATGATAGAAATGAGTGATGTGATATTTTTAGGGAGAAAATATATAAATGATTAAATATGTGATAGAAATGAGTGATGTGATTTGATGTTTGAGTCTGAAAAAAAAATAATGGGTGAGATAAGTGATTGGTGATGATTTTGAGGAGAAAAATATGACTGGGATAAAATTCAAACACAGTTCTGTTTTATTATATATATTAACAAATACACATGAATCAAGGTGTTTTAAATATTAAAGTTCTCCCATAAAACAAGGAGATATTTAATGCACCACTTTCCAAAGAACATACACATGGATCAATGGAGGACAAAAATGTCACAAAAAATTAGGCAAATTCAAATTGTGTACTTAAATACAAATAAATATCAAAATTAAGGACTTAATAACCCTACATTTTTTAGTGTGTATTTTTTTGTCAAATAAGTCTAATTTGGTATACCTCCTTACAAGGGAGTTTAAAGAGGGCGATACATTTCTAAAGTTACATTTTTTAAAATAATTGAGAGAGAAGTATATCTATTAGAGTTTGTTTGGTTAGAAAAATAAAAAATAATAAAAAGAGAAGTGAAAAGAAAATAATAGAAAATATATTTACATGCATGTATTTGGTTAAAATGAAAAATTTACAAGAAAGTTTTTAAAAAACTTCATTCTAATGTTTGAAAGAAAGTAAAATTATAAACAAATTTTTATAATTTTTTAAATTACCCTTAATTATATTAAATTGGTCTAAAAAAGAAAAAAATATGTAATTATACTTGAAAGTTAAAAATTTTTTAAAATATAGCTTGAACATAATTCTAAGACAATCATCAATACAAAAGTCTTTGGGTCAAATTATATGATTAATCAAATTCATGCCAAATTTTTTTAAAATTAATAACT